TTTGATGCTTAAGTTAGCGATGAAGATTTTGAGAGAGCTGATAGCTTGAGAGCAAGAGAATGTGAGAGCTAAATCATGTGTACCTTGTGAGGCTGGAGGCAAAGCCTTTATATAGGCAAGATGTCGTGGGCCTCATGATGCATGTCCAAGATCACCGGCCCATCTAGTCCAGAGTTGGTTTCGCACCCGAAGATGGACTCCAAGTAAGCTGATAAGGCTTATCTAGGTCCGCTTGATTCAGGCGGCGAGAAGATAAAATCCGTTGATGTACACCATGATCTTGAGGAGATTGGAGACAACTAGGTTGCTTCTAGAAGGGGGGCTATGTGGCACATAGGAAGGTCGATGAGTGTAGTGAGATGCTTGGGGCTCGGTCTAGCTGGGTGACCCGAGGTGCCTGAGGTGACTACGACCGATGAGTGCAGTTCTCAGTGTCATGGTCTATATCCCAGTGGAAGTGGAAGTATTTTTTAGGGTTCCTATTGGCGGGGTCGCCTCTCATCTTGGATGGCCATCTCACGTACTCAACTATCTTTATCTACATCAGAATTTCGCCCCTCTTCGCATTTAGGGTGGTATAACTCTGGTTTTGGATTGGAGGGGTTCTTGAACGCCGACCTGATTTGGAACTCTAGTGGGGGGACTTGCTTCTTCTTCTTGGTGACTTGCTTCACTTGTTGCGGGGTGACCGACTCCTTTCTAATGACTTACTCTTGCACCATTGCTTGCTACTTCCCACTTTCTTCTTCAACTTGCTTCCTCTTCCCTGTCAGCTCTAACCATGACCCTAGCACCTCCTTCACCTTTGTGAACTTGTCAACTTGGTGGAGGAACTCCTCCATGGAAGATGGAGGGTTCAATTCAACTTCCCAATGCAAGTCGGGGTGGCAGACACCATTGATGTAGTCTAGAGGCTTTTTGTTTGGTCGCTGAACCACGTTTAGTAGGTAGGTCACTGATTTTGGGCACCTCTTGCTGGTGGTGAAGTGCATTGTGAAGAGATCTACGAACTAGTTCCATCTCTTTATTGAGCCCGTGGCTAGTCTTGAGTACCACATCCAAGCTATACCCCGAAAAGTCATTAAGCCATGCAGAGGTTACGTCGTTTGCCCTATGAATTTGCATTAGGGCCTGTAAACTATTAATGTGATTGATCGGGTCTGTTGTGCCTTCATAAGACTCCAAGCTCGTGGCTTTGAAGTCCTTAGGCCATGGGGTCGTAAGGATCTCAGGTGCAAGAGGGGAGGTGCGGGTCACATGCAGTGCTGCTGGTTGGGCGGCGACCTAGCTTACCTCTCCTTTCTTGTTTGCTTCCTCATTGTTGGTGGGAGTGAGGTGGCTTCTCCTAGTGTTGCGGCGTGCACATCAACAATGCCTTCTCCTCGACACCTCGGTCAAGCTATTGCCTTTAGTCTTGTTCGTGTTGTAGCTTGGTTGTGTTCTTTGATCGGGACCTGGTTCTGGTTGTCAGTGTGACGAGGTGGATCCGGGACCTAGTCCTAGTTTCTATTGTCGGGCTGTTGATCGTCAGGTTGCTGGTTTTTTTGCTGCTACAACATCAAGGCAGCAATCTTTCCTTCCACATCCGCATCTCCTGGTTCATGCTGCAGACATTTTGCACCAATTCATTGAATTGGTGCATGTCGATTCCAGTAGGAACCACTGATGGCTCAACTGGAGGGAGAGGCGCGTTTAGTTGGTGTAGGGGAAGGCTGGGTTTGGCATTGCTGGTGCACCTGGTAGGGTTAGGGGCACTATGAACTGCCCAATGGTCACGGAAGGGACTTCTGAATGTGCTTTGGGTTAGTCACGCCCTCCTGTGACCTGGTTGTTATTGTTGTTGGCGGGCTGATTGTTGCTTGAGGAAGCCATTGGAATAGTAAAAGCAGAGAAATAGAGTGAGACTATGATTTTTTGTTGCGGTTTCCCACAGATGGCGCCAACTGATGATGTGTGATTTGAACGCTCCCTACTAGAGTACAGTTCGGACGTCGGACTAGTGATGTGACTGGGTCGAGTTGCAAGACAAGAGAATCAAAGTGTTTCGGGGTTCTTTACCCAGTGCGAGAACTCTGATGCTTAAGTCAGTGATGGGGATTTTGAAGGAGCTAATAGCTTGAGAACAAGAGAATGTGAGAGCTAAATCGCACGTACCTTGTAAGGCTAAAGGCGAAGCATTCATATAGGCAAGCTACTGTGGGCCTCACGATGCGTGTCCGAGATCACCAGCTCATCTAGTCTGAAGTTGGTTTCGCACCTGAAGATGGACTCTGAGTAAGCTAATAAGGCTTATCCAGGTTTGTCCGATTCGCGAGAAGATAAAATCTGTTGACGCATGCCGTGATCCCAAGCCTTCATATTGGCTTGCTTCTAGAAGGGGGCTACGTGGCACCTCGGCAGGTCGATGAGTGTAGTGAGCTGCTCGGGGCTCGATCTAGCTGGGTGAACAGAGATGCCCGAGGTAACTAGGACCACTGAGGTGTCCGATGTTGCTTGAAGTGTTTCCATATCGTTCCACCGCTCCACATGTCATCACATCATTGGATGGACGGGCCAAATTAACCGTCATTAGTCATTATTAATGATTGTCTATTATTTCTCCTTTTTTAGTTTTGTTGATACTATTATGAGTTCCTTTTGTTAGGAGAATAAAGAGGAGGTGTGTTTTATAAGGGTTCCTCTTTAAAGCAAAAGGAATTTGTGGAGAACCAATATAAGGAGTTTATTATGTGAAAAACAACATTACACAGTAAGCATCAACTAATCCATTCCATAATTGATTTGTTAATTGTTTATTATAAGTTATATATATATATATATATATATATATATATATATATTGGTTGGTGCTTACAAAAATTAAAGTTCTAATTGTTATTAGTCAAATCCATCATTAGCCAAAGAGAGCTGGCAAATCAAATGCCTTTACATAATTTACCAGGCCATGCAAGGTGGACTCTTTTTATAAAAAATAAGTTTTACAAAAACCATAAGTTCTAATACCTTTGTTATTTAGATTTTCATTTATATAGCAAGGGCGTTTTTACAACATCTCCAAATAAAAAATTTAATTTGTGGTTCAACATTTGCATGCTACATTTTCTTCTAGGTTGAGGAGAGGGGGAACCTTGTTGAACATTGACCATTAGGGTTTACAATTTTATTTTAGGCCACAAAATAAGCAAATTTAATAGAGAAACAATCTCTAGAATCTTGGTCCCATATAAGATAATCCTCTATAAGATTTTGGGCAAGATTAATCTTGAAAATACTTTGGGAAACCTTCAAAACAAAAAGAGAGTTGGAAATTTTTAAGTTACATCTTCTAGAACTTGGATTCAAATGATGTACCTCTCAGGCCCCATTCATTTGATGGTATTTAACAGTGGTAAGTTGGTCAATCAATACGTTAACCACAATACCCCTGTATTCATTTGCTACTATATTGGACCCCACAGTAAATGAAGATATTTGAGAGTGGGTAATTGATACCCTCTTACAAGGTGGGTAAACTACTACTTGGTACTTGTTGAAGTTGATAAGCACTCTCTCCTCACCTCTCTCTTTACCAGGGCTATTGGTAACTTAAGTTTTACTTGGAAAACACTTGCGTAAACATATTTATCCAAGTAAGTAAAAACAAACAAGGCCTTAGAACGGCTACCAAGACCCAACTTGGGTTCCATAATTTTGAAGCTGAATATTGGGAATCCATGGATCTTCCCAAATGTTAACAAGATTTCTACTATTTACCAACCGTCTCACCCCTTAGAGAAGGACATTTCTTCTAGCCAATACTTTGCAAACCCATAAACCAAACTTAGGTAAAGGGTCTCTAAGTAGGTTTTTAGCATTGGTGTTGGGAATATTGCACTGTTTTCTCAAAAACAACGATGTTGGGCGTGTGGAGTTATAAGCACCATTTTCTCTTATTTTTGTTTGGAACTGGTGTTGTCACATAGGCGTTTTCTAAGAAAACAGCATTGGCTTTGTTTGGTATTTGGCAGCAACATTTTCAACATTGATCTATATTATCCAACATCTAAGATGATGCCACATCATTGCACCGCTAGCAGCAATGCATTGTTTTCACATTCCTGATTTCCAAGGCGTGATTTGGAGCAACATTTTTTTTTTCCGAAAAAAAATACCAAACAAGAGGGCATTGTTTGAGGCACCGCTTTCTCTAATGTGGCCCCTACATGGTGCCATTTTCTTAGAAAACGGCATCGATGCCAAATACCCAATAAGAGAGTCTTTATTTTTAAGGTATTTGACCTTCACAACCTTGACTCACGACTTGTTTGGATTCTTATAGATTTTCCATGTAATCTTAGATAATAGAGCTAAAGAGCAAGGGTCCCAAAAACCTCCAACTCCCTTAATTTTACTTCTACAAATCATGTCTTAGCTTACCCAATTTATTTTGTGCTCACCTGAACTACCACCCCACCAAAGAGAGAAAATTTCCCCTCCATCCTATGGTCTTGCCCTCAATCTTGTCATTTAAATATTGAAACACTTTCTTTTTTGATCAACCCAAATTGACAAACAATCCTAGGTAGTTTTAGCGAATCATTTTGACAAGGTCGTTGACACGTTTAGTACTTAGAAAACAAAGATGGTTTTCTGGTTGATAAATGAGAGAGAGGCAAACCTTACTCCAAATATACCCTTTGAGTTCAGACTAACGAGTCTTCTAAGGATTCATTAGGTAACGTGATCTGAACAGTTAATTTTCTTTTTTTTTTTTTTGACATTCAACAATAGAACAGTTACTTTTTGCCAAGTTTCATGCCAATTTTTGTCTAAAAATTTGATATATTTTCCAATGCCTCTACATAAATTTGAGTGGATTATGTGGGAAAATGGAAGGGCCTTCATTGTTGCACCCCAATTTGTGAGTTTGTAAAAAAGATTGAAACGAATAAACAAATTTAAATTAACTAGTTTCCCAAATAACCCCAAAATCAAATTATTTCATGGCATATACTCAGATGTTAGAATAATTCAATTGATTCTCTCACTTTTATTTTCAGTTCTTACCAAATGAACGTTCTGGTGAGGTATATATATGGAGTATTAAAGTGAGAGAAAAAAAAGATGAAAATCAACTTCAAATCTCATATTAACTCATAACGCGAATTGGAAAAGCCCACAAACAAGACCTGAAAGGATAAGATAGCGGAGATATCCACAAATAGTCTAGTCTTTAGCTTGTTTTTCTGATTTTCTTCTGGCTCGGCGTTCTCTGGAGCTCAGAGACGACTTAAATATTCCATTTTCAGAGTCTGAGTCCTCCAAATCTCTGAAAGATTTCTGCCCATGAAAAGAGAACGACCATCTCAAAAGAATCTCAAATAGAACCCACAAAACCAATCTTACAAAACATTAAGATAAAAGAATGATTTCCACCGGAGAAGAGAAGGGTAGGTCTCAGATTTCTCAAACAAGAACCCACCAATGGGGAAAAACTGAACTGAGCAAACCATAAAGAAAAAAGAAGAACTAAACAGAAGAAGAGGAAGAGAAGAGCACCTCCCGAAGCTCTGCAAAGCTTACTGCGTAGAATGCGACGGCTGCAGCTGCGACAATTCCCACAATGGGAAGAGCTACTTGCATTGCATCCATTTTTCTTCTCCTGGTTTAGTTTAAGAGGATGATACTATTTGTCAAGCAGATAAGATGTCAGTACTCAAGTATCCAAAATAAAACCAAATAAAATAAATTAATAGAGAGATTATTCGTTTTACATAAATGTCACTATAATGGGAATTCAGATGGGCTCCCAAAAGAGCAAGGTCGAATTCAATTGGTATAGTGGGAAGGGGTGGCAAATGGGTGGATTGGATTGGCTTATGTAAGGGTTGAATATCAACCCACCCATATTGACCTAACATGACCCATCATCAATCCTTGTTAATGGGTCACAATCCACTCTGACCCTCAGTCCTTCACCCACACATATTGACTCACTTACCTATCCATACTAACCCTTACCCACCCTCACCCATACTGACCCACTTACCTATACTTATAAATGTAGAAGCGGGTCGAGTTAACCCATATACCTAGAGAGGCATTTTTTAAGAGGATTATCTCATTCTCAAGACTGTCACATGATGGATACAGATCAGGCCGACCCGTGTACCTGAAAAAGGCATTTTTAAGAGAATCCTCTCAATCTCGAGATTATCACGTAACAGATATGGGTCGGATCAACCCATATATTCGAAATAAAGCAATTTTAGGAAAATCACCTCACTATTGAGATTAACACGTGACAAAATATGGGTCGGGTTGGGTCACAATACCACCTCGCTCTTATGACTATCACGTAACAGCTATGGGTTGGGTTAACCTATATACCTGGAAAATTTTAAGAGAAAAGTCTCACTCTTGTGACTGTCGCATGGTAGATATAGGTCAGGTCAATCGATATACCCAAAAAATTTGAGAGAACCGTCTTGCTCTCATGACTAACACATGGTTGGGCTAACCCATATGTTCAAAGATTGTAAAAATGCAGAAAAATTAAAGAAACTAAAAGAATGCAAAAAAAAAAGATCAAAAATTGTAAAAAAAGGCATGAATTAGCGGGGACTCGTGCAATGCACGGGCTTTGTTAAGTGAAAGCTAAACAATAGAAATGCACAAGAGTATACAATTGTTTTATATTTTATCTTTTTAAATAATTAATAATTGTTTATATTTTATATACTACTTATAATTTTTTTATTATACAAAAATAACACTAATTAATTTCAGCTAGGGTTGTTCATCAAATTAGTGAAACTGACCAACCCGACCCAAATCAACCAGAGTTGGTTGTTTTTTAATATTTCCTATTGGCTTTGCTTCAACAATTTCCCAACCCAACTAGGTTGGATTAGTTCCGGTTTGGCCATTTATAAGTCGACCAAAATTGAACTAACCTAACCCCATATATATATATATATTTTATTTTTTATTTTTTATTTTTTAATACAGGAAAATGGGAAAACTCCCATGTTCCTTAGTCCAAAATATTTTATATCATAAATTTAACTTTTTCAAAATTTATTTTTTAATAATACCACTATAATTTTTTAAATATAAATATAATTTTTAAGTTTAAATCTTTTGAACCAATAGACCAAACTAAAAATTGACCCAAAGTGATACAACCTAATTTGGTTGGTTTTCACTAATGGTTAGTCAATTTCGGATAACCAACTCCCTAACCCGAACACTCCTAATTTCAACTAAATTAATAGTCTAATCTCTAATAAATAACAATAGTTTAATCTCCAATAATTATTGAAAATTTATAGCAAAAAAACACAACTATTGAAAATAAATTTATAATAAAAATACAATAAATAACTAACAAAAATACAATAAATGCAAAAATGATAAAAATACAATAAATACTAAAAACATATTAAATTAGTCAATAAATAGTGTAATCATAAATAATAGTTTAATCTCTAATAAATATTAATTAATAAATTACAACAAAAATACATAATTACTACAAATAAATGCATGACAATGATAAAATAAATACAATAGGTATAATAAATTAAATTTTAAAAGTTAAATAATAGTAGTTTAAATTCCAATAATTATTGAAAATTTTTTATTAAATAACAAAACAAGAATAGGTTAATACATAATTATTGAAAATTCATTTATCATAAAAAACAATGAATAATTATTGAAAATACAACAAATATTAATTTTAGTATATATAATTATTAATATTAGTATTTTAAAATTATTGTTACTAAATATTAATTTTTATTGAAAGCTATTTTCTAGAATTATTAATTGATGTAAGTGAAACTAGTTTACAATATTATTTAGTTATTTAAGTAATATCAATATGCAAGTTTTTAAATATTATTTAATTATTGAATTTAATAATCCATAAAATTCTAATTAATACTATTATTACATAACTTTGTTATTAATTTTGTAAAATATTAAATTTATTATTAATCTATTAATTTTAAATATTTAAAATTTAGTTGTGTTAAATATTTCGTTATTTAAAATATTTAGTTATTTAAATGACGAGATTAACGCCTTCATAATCTTCGATTTATACTAATGCTGCTAACTTTGGAGCTGAGGGCAGTGGAGTAATCTTCAAGGTCTGGGGGCTGCGAGTCCCGCTTGCTAAGAGTGGAAAGGCGTTAGAGGCCTCGAGACTCGAGTGTGTTTCTAGGCTTGAGGACTCTGGCAGTCAAGTTAGCCGAAGGCATAGAGAAAGCTAAGGTCACCTCAAGAGTATAAGTGATAGCTCAAGTATGCTTGCGTACCTTTAGCTATAGTGTCCCTTTTATAGTAGGAGTTGCCTAGGTGGGGAGTAATGCATGATGTGTAACCATCCCATAGATCACGGTTATGTAGGGGGACTCAAAGAGGTGTCGGCCAACCATGACCCCCTAATTAGTGACTCATGAGTAAATGCACCTAGAATGTGCGCCCATATTAAGTGCTCCATAATCGCTAAGGTTAGGAATTACTCAATTGCCCTTAGGAGATTGTCCTCTGTTGAAAATACCCCTAGTCGATGCCACGTGTTAGGGTTTGGTGGGCTAACCAAATATACCTACAATACTTACCCCTCGCTCTTGAGGCTGATGCCGTGGGTCGCGAGTGGTTTATGCTGAGTTCTCGGCCTTGGGCGATGCGAGTAGCCAATAGCTTTACTGAGCTTATTCACTATTCATGGATCACGAGCAGAACCGATCAACATGGTTGTGGTCAAGTCTTCGTGTCTTGTACGGGTGCTTGTTTCTTGTGCCTCACAACCATATCTAGGATGGGTGTTGGATTCATCGATCAAAGAGTTGTGCTTGGGATGGGCCCGACTTCAGCTGCTCAAGAGCTGTGTTTGGGTTGGGTAGTTGAATTGTCATGCCGGTTCAGTGTATGTCGGGCCGGGGACGATAGGTGAATTAGCTTCGGGCACCTGTGTCGTTTCGTCTCTTGAGGTCGATACCATGTGGAGGCTATCGGCACGTATGGGTGAGGTGGTAGTTCGCTTATGACCATTGGACAGCTTGAATCTCTGTCGTCCATTTTCCTTTAAAAGGAGGGGGGAGATAGGAGAGGCTTCACCATCTCCCATTAAATTTTTCTTTAGTCCCTTTTTCGTAGAAATCTTTTCTTGGTAAGGCCTTGTCTTCCATTATGTTGACTTCTAACTCTGGTCGTGAGGTCTACACTCTTCCTGATTGGACTGATCCTAGTAGCACTTCTAGCACCAGTAGTAGGAGTGATAGTACTAGTAGTAGTTCTGAGGGGTCCTCTTGGATCTGAGGAGTCCATCAGAGCATGGACTCCGTTAGTGAGAGCATCGGGTCCACTAGGCCAAGGGGAGGTGTCCTTAAGAGTCCTTCTATTGGGCCTTTGAGGAAGGACACTTTAGGGAACGCTCTAACACTTCCCCTTGTGGTAGACATTGAAGAGGCCAAGGGGCCGATGGGTTAGGAGGAGGCCGAAGTCGAGGGCCAAGGCATGACCCTAGAGCGTTATCCTCACTTGGACTTAGATAGTATGCTCGATAGGGAGTAGATTGGGGCCTTGTCCAAGAAGTAATTTATTCTAGGGGACTATAGAGTTAAGAGTCCCCTATGTTGGTGATAGGCTGTGGCTCTTCCCCGAAGGGGAAGTGTGTGTTCACGAGCATTATTTTGATTTTGAGTTGCACTTTCCTCTACACCCTTTAATACCTGAGTTGCTAAACCATTACAGGTTAACCCTCAGCCAACTTTCTCCCAACGTTGTCAAGACGTTAGTGGCTGTCTTGGTAATGGATCATTTTTGAGGGGTCTTAGAAACGATGAATATATTTTGGAGCCTGTTTGCCTTGAGAAAACACCCTGATGGCCAAGGGTTGTGGTACTTCCAGGACCAATAGGGAAAAGTGGTGGACAACCCATCGTCCGTGCACAACGTACGAAGACTAGTCCTTTCGAACTAGCTGGGAAAGCCCACATATGCTGGTCGAGAGGATCTCACCACGTAGTAGTAACAAGGGGAAGGCCACGATGAGTTGATTTCGGTTGGGCAAGACAATTCATGCTTGACCCTTGGGTGTATAACCTAATATAAGATTGTATGCCACAGGCTATTGGTCGGACGATCTTGGCAATTAAAGAACGAGAATCATTATACACAAGGATTAGTGAATCAAACAGAGAGGAACTTGCATCTTTTTCATTCATAAATACATTTCAATGTACACTTGAGTTCATTGGTAGTACATATGAAGGTTCTCCGAGTTTCAGGTACGAGGTACTAGTCTTCTACTCAAATATTCTAGCCAAAAGGTACCACATCCTAACACTTGCTTGATTTTGTAAGGCACTTTCCAATTTGGGTTGAACTTTCTGATGCCAAGCTTATGGACGATAACTTTTCTAAAGACGAGGTCTCCTTCTTTGAAGTGGCTCTCTTTAACTTGGAAGTTGTAGTATCTTGCTATTCTTTGTTGGTAAGAAGCAACCCTGATTTGAGCTTGCTCTCGGGTGCCCTCTAGTAAATCAATGTTACTTCTCAACTCTTCATTGTTTTCGGCTTCATTGTACGCTTTTGTTCGAAGCATCGACTGGCCGATCTCTACTGGGATAATAACTTCTATTCTGTATGTTAAGTTAAAAGGAGTTTTTCCTGTGTCCATTTGAGGCATTGTCCTATATGCCCATAGCATACTGGGTAGCTTATCAGCCCAAAGTCCT